AGTAAAATATTATTTAACTGCAAGGCATCGTGCCTTAAGGCAAATTTTTGAAAATGCTTTGAAATTTTTTGAAAACTTTGCAATAAAATAAAATTTTTGAAAGTTTTGGAATTTTTTATGAAATGACTTTTCTGAAAAATTGGATTTTTCTTAGATTTTGAATTTTTTGAAAATTTTTAAGTCTTTTCAAAGCAATCGTGCTGCGTGGCTGTTTCAGTCTAGCGGATAAACATTGGTACGGAACCAATGGAAATGTAAACAAAATGCATACTTATTATTAAAAACTCTGTAAAATATCTGATAATTTGATGTGCATAACGCTAATAATCATTTTTCACCTCCAAATATCATTTTTTACTTGTTTTACTCGATCTGCTTTTCCAAAAATTGAGTCATTTCTTCATTTTATTAATTCAAATAAAATGTTTTTTGAATTATTGAAATCGTACTCTCAAATCTAAGTTACCATTTTTGGCACTATTTGCCCCGTATCTTCTCAACAGCTGGACCTGCTTCGTCCAAAATCTACTCAGCACGTTTCCTGGTGAAAGATGATTTTGGAATCATTCAAATCGGTTAGTTTGTATTCCCAAAATCGTCGACAAAAATTTGTATCCGCACACACGCACGCACACACATTCATTTGTTCTAATAATAAGGCATGCCATAATGTTCAGAAACTTTTGAAGCGTAAAAATATATAAAAAAAATTATTTTCGATTTTTTGCGATTACTGTAACTTACCCTACGGAAGTTATTTATATTGACTTCAAAAATTTGTAATTATTAATTTGTATGTATTGTAATTATCACTTTTACTATATTCAAAATTCTCAGAAAGTATGATATGTAAGTATAATATTAAAATCTATATGTCAATAATAATAATTAAATACAACAAAGGATGAAATGTAGATTAGATGTTGAATAAATTATTAAATATCATATTATTGAATATTATAGGATATTATTAAATAATTACTTTTCTACGTAATAAATATAGTTTTCAAATGTTAGCCGGAGTCACAATATATGTCACTAATCTAATTGTTTATATCTTATTCTATTAAGGAACAAACTAGAAACTTCAAATAAACGTCCAACTAAACTATTATTAATAATTATTATTCGTATTAACCGAAAATATTGAAAATAAATAAAAAAATGAATGAATAGATAAATAATTTTGTGTATATTTTTACAAAATATTGTATTTTGTGCCCTGATAAATTCAGTATTTATGAAAATAGGTTAGAAATATTAAGGGAGCACAACAACTTTATCAAAAAAATGGAAAAGCGCGGTACGAAAAAGTTGGAAACCATTGACTAAAGTTTAAATTGCAGTTCATAAAAACAATAAAGAATGGGTGTATATTTTCAAGCGAAACATACATCACTACTGTTTGACATCAGGTTCTAATCAGCGAAAAATTTGAATTCGAACCGCATAGTTTCTCATACTTTTCACAAATAGATTACAAGAAAAAGCACTTTTCACATGTTTTACATAATATTTGGTTCAGTATATGTGAAATTTCTGTTAAGGCGCCAAAAATGATTGCAAAGTAATATCACAAAGAGTCACCACAATCTGGAGATGCAACTAACAAATAGCAGTATGTATATGAAATGTGTGGAAAATTATAAACTTGTGTTAAAATTAAAAATTTTGGACAACTTAATACATATTTATGTCGGAACAATATGAATAATATTTAAATTATTTCCTGATCCACCTTATTCTTAAATATCATCAGAACAGGCTTTGTTATATATAGAATGACTGATTTATATCTCGCATTTCAAAAGTTTTACAAATGTATAATATAATCGAACAAGCATCAATAATATGCATAATTTAGTTTTCATTCCTAATATAATCGTGTAATGATCGAAGATGATATATAATATCATATTCAAGACGTATAAAATAGAAGTGTTCAAAATAACGTGATCATACATTTTATATTGTTAATTGTTTATTTTTATTGTTTCAGAATATTTGACATCAAGATACACTATAGGCGGGCCCCGTAAAAATACTCGTCAGACCAAACTGTTATGTGTAGCGGGCAATCGCTTGCTCGACACGAGTGCTCTTTCCGTCGCCTCGCATGAACACAACTGGCTGTCACATTGAACATATTTTTTTATAACTCTTTTTTTTTAAAAAAAAACCGTCTAGTTGTTTTGAACTATAAAAAATGATTTAATTAATGCATAATTAAACATAAAACTAACAAAAACTAGTGGCGTATGGCATCGTGCCTTAAGGCAAATTGCTGAAACTTCCTGTACCATAACGAAATGTTCGAGGAATATTGAGTATTGAATGAAATATTATTTTCCTAAAGCAATTGTTATGTCAACACAATCAGAATGTCTTTTGAATCATTCAATTCGGATGGTTATTTCTCTCAAAACTGCCATTTTGTGTACATTTAGCTCCGTATCTTTGAAATGGCTGAACCTGCCTTTGCCAAAAACTAGTCACCACTTCTCCCAATCATTACTAATTTAATGTTTTTTAGATCATTCAAATCGGATGCTCCGTTCTCTCAAAAACTCGATTTCTATTTTTTGCACTTTTTGCTCTGCGATTGCCAAAAACTAATGGGCACATCTCCCTATCAATAGGAATCGAATGTTTTTTGAACCATTCAAATCGGTTGATCCGTGCGCCCGAAAACGTGAACGAAAAAATGCGGCCACCAAAACGCACACACACAGACACATCCATTTTTTCTGAGGTATGCCAAAATGTTCAGAAACCTAAAAACCGTAGAAAAATGGAAAAATTTTCATTCTTGATTTTCCGCCCATTACTATATATAGGTTAGTTATAACTAACCTACGAAAAGTTAAAAATTTAACGTACAGTAGATATATAAACCCTTTTTACATACGTGAAATTTATGGAAAAAATCACCCCTTATGAAGAGGTGCTGGGACCCGAATAGCAAAATAGCTGAACCACTTCAATTAAACTATTTGGTTTCAAAACAACGCAACTTTGACCTAAAAATGATTCAATAATTGGAGGATTGTCAAATTCTGACCACTCCACTTCTTCATTGTCATTATTTCCAGAATCTCTGGAAATAATCGGTAAAACTCTACGTCTTCTAGGATGAAAAAAATCTTCATCCACATACACTACCAAAATCAGTAATATCAAAATCACTTCCAATTTGTGATAAATTATTGGCGCAAACTTTACTATCGCTATCCGATGCCACTATTTCATTATTGCAAATAACAATGTAAAAAAGAGTTGAACTATACAAATCTGACTAATAACTAAAATATTTGATAAAAATATATTGAACACCTTTTTATTGTTGTAATTCTGCATATTTAATCTACAAAACAAGTTGCGAGTAGCTTGAATGAAAGAAACTT